AGATGTGTATAAGACGTTTGCTATGCACTGTATCATGCGCTATAGAAGTGGAAGACCATAATTTATTGGGAATGTACCTCTCTCTCTGGTAGGGCCTACAGTACAATCAGTTCAAAAGTGTAAGGTATAGGATAGTGTGGATTTTTAAACATTTTTCTAATGGTAATGCTCAAAATAAGTGTCAAGGAAAGTAAGTATGATTGTTGGAATAAATGGTCAACATTATATTTTGAATTCTCACCCTGACCTTCGCCTGGGCAAAGTGGGCGAAGGTCTGGATCCGCGTCTAGTTAGCATGAATTTTTGTAAGCCAGGACCCATAGTATTTTGTTACGTTTCTTCACAGAGAGGGTGGGGGGACGAACCCTCCTCCCTCCATCCACCACTGTGATTAGAATCAAATATAGAATTTAAGCTAACAAAAACAACACATCTAAACAAAGTCTATGTTATATTAGGCCTGTATTAAAAAAAAATGTAAATTCAAAAATTCGGCCAAATATAGTTTGGCCGTGACTTTTCAAACGTTACGGCCAGGCAAATTTTTATACGGCCAGATTTGAGGAATCTGGCCGTCAAAAAGGCCAAATGGCAACCCTGATAGAGACAATAATAAGAATACTAGAGCGCTAACCGCAATGTATTCGATGTTCGAAATACGCAGAACTGTGTGGGTACCATCAAAGATGGCTGCCATAGATTTAGCCAATCAAATTTCGCTAAGCACCATTGTTTGCAATTGCGCCCTCAATTTACCCAGAGGGTTCAGTACAGCTAGCTACCCGTATGTTTGAAACTTGAGCGTTGCGGTGTTTGGGTGTAATGTACACGATTTTAATTTTCATTCCTTGGTACTTTATTTTTTAATAAGATGCTCCACTTGGCCTCGTTTTGGCTACAATAGTTTAATAATTTGTTATTACCATTACTCATTATCATTAATGAAATAATAGTCAGTCAGAGGGCTTATTAATATGTAATAATATGTATACTAAGCCTGAAGGTGGCGCTTTACTACGACGGCCATCTTGGATGGTACACATACTGTACATAACTCTGCATTGCTGCGCCATCTTGTCACCACTCTAGCTGTTCAATAGCTCTATGGACTACTCATTCAACAGAAATAAATGACGCATGGAGTTAGTGAAAAATGGAGATCTAAATGAAAAAACGATGTATTTCAGCAAGTATTAAAACCTTTTTGTTTTATTTTAGGCCTACTTCAAAATACCTATGCCACAGCAGTTGATTTTTTTGCCGTAAAACCAAAATAGTTTTATCCATGCCGACTTGCCGATCGGTTAGCGTGAGCCCTGACTGAACCCTGCAGAAAATCCGCATCACGATTTAAAACAAAATGTCGGAAAACTTTTCTTTGACGCATGCGCA